CATTCACAGATGGAGGAAATAAGGCGCAGAGAGGTTGTGTGGACCGGCAACTGGGCGGCATTGAGACCAACCTCGGGAACCTGTGGGTCCTGGCCTATTGCCCTTGCCACAACCTCAAGCTGCTTGTGGGACCCAGGCCAAAGATGCCAAGGATGCTGATGGTGATCTGCCCTGAGGGATGGGCGTGGCGAAACGTAATGGCAGTGACTGTCCCTGCACAGCTCCCCCTGCGCGACCACCAAGCCTGGAGCAGGGAGACCCTGCTGCAAAAGCAGGACAAACTGAATCACCCCTGGCCCAAACCACACGGCCTCCGCTGCCCCCACCTCCGGCCTTGCCAGCCCCTGTCACCGCCACACCCTACCTCCCCAGCTGGGGAGGGAACCATCCCAACTCATCATCCCCACCTGTCATTCCCACTTGTCAAGTCACCCACTTTTTAGGAGGAAGTGGCTCACTCCTCTGGCAAACCCCTGCCTGGCCTGATAGACCTGAGCAGCCAGTTTCTGAACGCTGGTCTCAGAGGACAAGCCCAGAATTCCAGCCTGCTGGTAGACAGAGGAAGTACCAGGTCAGGATGGGGAGGTGGCCTGGAATCATCTGGTGTGGGGCAGTGGGCGGCGGGGGGAAAGAAAGAAAAGAAAAGAAGGAAAGGTCTACCTCTTACCTGCTCTGCAAATCCTAGATCAGTTCTCCTACTCCACGAAGCCCACCCTGATCACCGCAGTGCTCACCAAGCTCTCCGCAACTACATGGGAGAGTCCTTGATTCTGCCACCAGGGCAAGTCACTTGTGTCTCCTTCTGTATAGTACAAACTATGGGGGGCAGCTTTGTGAGGCTATTTGGGCCGAACACTGAGCTGTGCATGCAGTAGGTGCTCTGGACACACTTTGATTACTGAATAAATTGAAAGAGTTCATTCATTCATTCAAAAAGCCATTAATGAGCACTGTCTTGAGTTAGGCTCTCTTCTAGGGGCCCTTGCCCTGGGGGCTGATATTTTGGTACAAGGAGACAGACCACAGACAGATAAACGAGCAGATCACGTGAGGCCAATGCAGGGAAGAAAGATGAACGGATGAATGCATGAAGTGGAGATTGGGGACAGGAGAAAGTGGACAAAGGGTCCAGGGGAGAGAGCTCCCATCTTCCCGCCCAGCTCCAGCCCCACATCATGATGGGAGGATAGACACTCTGCAGAGGGCCAGCCTCTTCAGAAGTGGGGCAGCCTGCTGGCCTGGCCTTACTTTGGTAGCTGCAGAGAAAATATTCTGGGAGGAGACATTTTTTTCTAGGTTTCTGGGAGCAGTGGCCATTTCTTCCTCCAGAGGCACCAGAAATACAACTACTGGCCATTAGGGGCTGGGGGGGACTGGAAGCTCAGCCAATGAAGGAAACAGCTGCTCTGGGACATTCATCAAAGTGCTGCTGAGGGGGCCATGCCCCCAGGTCAGGGGCGAGGTGGGACTAGAGCCAGCAGAAGAATCTTCTCTTTTTTTTTTTTTTTTAAAGATTTTATTTATTTTATTTGAGAGAGAGGGAGCATGAGTAGGGGGAGAGGCAGAGGCAGAGGGAGAAGAAGACTCCTCACTGAGCAGGGAGCCCGATGTGGGGCTCCGTCCCAGGACCCCAGGATCATGACCTAAGCTGAAGGCAGATGCTTAACTAACTGAGCCACCCAGGTGCCCCAAATCTTCTCTTTCTTTCTCTATCTTCCTGCCTCCCTTTCTCCCTCCCTCCCTCTCTCCATGCCCCCAGCCCCCCTCCCCCAATGTGGCCTCCCCACTCCCAGCCCCCTCTCGTCCACTTTCCATGTCCTTTTCCTGCATGGCACTTGTCACCCTCGCACATACCACATACTTCTCTACTGTGCTTGCTTTTGTCACCCCGCCCCAACAATTTCCATGGGGACAGGGATTTACCTCCCAGCACCTAGAACAGCGCCTAGGACACAGTTAGGGGCTCAAAGAATATTATTCTCCACTTCCTTCATCCTTCTTGCTCTGCATGCACGCTGTGCTGTGGGCAGGGGAGAGAGTTAGACATAAGACGCATTCCTCTCTTAAAGGGGCTCATGGCCCCCTGGGGAATAGATGACTCCAGAGGCCTTTGTGCTCCCACCAACTTCATCTCCAAACTTTAATCCCAGCCCCTGCCTCCTGCCCTCCACTCTCCCTTGGCTGTGCAGCACTCAGGTGTCTCTCTGCAACAGTGGGGACACGTACCTGAAACCGAACCTTCCTTCTGCCCTGCCCAGAGGGGGCAAGCAGCACGGTGTAGTGAGATAAGACAGCCCTGAGTCTGAATCTCAACTGAGTTTCATCTGTAGGATGGAGCTCCATCACCCACCTTTGCAAGGGCTCCATTGAGAATTAGAACATGTCTAAAAGGTTTGGCCACAGCAAGCACGTAATAAACAGCCCCTCTTGCTGGTATCGCTTCTGCATGTCTGGCTGGGTCTTGAAGCCGTCTGCTTCTCCCGCTAAGGGAATGGTGCCCGTCGGGCTCAGTGCAGGCACATTTAAGTTCCCAGCCCCCTGATCAGGAGCTCAGCCTCCGGTGTTCTGCATGCCATTCCTGCCTTTTACGAATCTGGGATTCAAACTGGCAATGGTTTTCTATAATCCAGCGTTGGCAAGGGTGCATGGGTGCCACACGGCTCATGAGGCACACGCTTTGTTTGGGGCACTTTGAGCAACCTGTATCAAAGCAATTCAGCCTCTGGGAACTCACTGAAACCCACACAAAGACCTATATACCTGGATGTTCATGACAGTGTTCTTTATGACACCAAATAAACCCAAAGCAACCCCATTGCCTAACACTAGGGGATTGGCTAGATACGGCATGGTATATCCTGCCATTAAAAATGGTGTAGAAGGGGGCGCCTGGGTGGCTCAGTCGTTGGGCGTCTGCCTTCGGCTCAGGTCATGATCCCAGGGTCCTGGGATCGAGCCCCGCATCGGGCTCCCTGC